CCTGGTTTCCAGGCCATTCTCCTTAACCACTACATCAAAGTGGCTCTCAGACTTCTCTCTTTGCTTGGAAAAGATCCCAGACTCGGTCCTTGGAATCCTCTCCTTGCTGAAAATATTTCAGCATTCAGCTTCGATGCTGCTGAGTGGCTGCCAAACAAAGCAGGCAGATTGAGATTTATTATGTAGAGTGAAGGTTTCACTTGAGTTAAAGCAGCTTTATACACACAGCTTGCCTGCGATGAGAGTAACGGATCTCTATCTGGCAGCTTCTACGATAGGGAGTCCTCGACTTTAACAACAGTTCGTTTAGTGACCGTTCAGTGTTAGAACAGCATTGGAAAAAGTGACTTATGACCATTTTTCACACTTACGACCGTTGCAGCATCCCTGTGGTTACGTCATCAAAATTCAGACACTCGGCAAACTGACTTGTTTTTACGACCGGTTGCAGTGTCCCGGGGTCAGGTGATCCCCTTTTGTGATCTTCTGACAAGCAGAGTCAATGGGGAAGCTGGATTCAGTAACAACTGAAGCGATTCGCTTAATAACTGAGGCAAGAAAGGTCATAAAATGGGGCAAAACTCACAACAAATGTTCTTACTTAGCAACAGAAATTTTGAGCTCAGTTGTGGTCGTATGTTGAGGACTACCTGTACAGAAGACTGGACAGCCATTTGTCCAAAATGGTATAGGGTTACCTGCCTGAGCAGGGGGTTGGACTTGATGACCTCCAAGGTCCCTTCCAACGTCGTTGTCGTCGTCGTCGTCATCATCATCATCATCATCATCATCATCATCATCATCATCATCATTATTATTATTATTATTATTATTATTATTATTATTATTATTATTATTAGTTCAAATCTGCCCTGAAGAACTTTATTCTGGTTTGGGAGATTTATTTGGGGGGGGTGTTGGGGGTTGAGGCTTTGATATATTGGAGAGGGCTACCATCCGTCTAATTATGACAAGAAAGCTTTAAATTTTCCAGGAAGAAAAAATGAAGCCCTTCAATATATTTTCAGATACTTCCCTTCCCCCAAATATTTATGCATTGCTGTTTCTAGTTGTTCCCTCTTTGCTTATATCTATGTAAATTATTGCCTCCAAATGGGATATCATTTTCTCTGCACTTTAGATCCTCTAAGCACCTAGTATTTTTTGTTGCTGGTGGGGCGGAAATTTATGCGAAATATATCATTCCGCTCTTTTCTCTAATATCCTAGCTTTCAGAAACAAAGGTCTTCACGGCTTCATCAGTTCCAGCTGAGAACCACGTCGTTTCTGGCCAAAGGTACGTATTTTTCTATGTTGTGTCTCTAGTGCAGTGGTTCTCAACCTTTTTAATGCCGCGACCCTCAACCGGTCGTAAGTCGAGGACTAAACCGGTCGTAAGTCGAGGACTAAACCGGTCGTAAGTCGAGGACTACCCAACCGGTCGTAAGTCGAGGACTTTCCCTGCCCGGGAGCGCCGCGCATGCGTGGTTCCGCCCCCTGCGCCGGCCGAGGCGTAGCTGGCAAGCGGCAGAGATGGAGCAGGCCGACCACCAGCTGCCCAGCCCAAGGAAGGTAAGGCACCCGCCAGAAAAGGGGGAAAAATGGCGGATAAAAAAAATGGCGGACAGCCTTGCTTGGCGACCCCCGTAAAATGGTCGATCGACCCCAAATGGGGTTGCAACCCATAGGTTGAGAACCGCTGCTCTAATGGCTAATTTGGGATGCCATTTTCTCTGCTTTGGAAAATAGCTTGACTCCCTCTTCTTTGGGGCAGCCCCTGAGATATTGGAACACTGCTATCCTGTCCCCCCTCGTCCTTCTCTACATTAAACTAGACATACCCAATTCCAGCAACCGTTCCTTACATGCTTTAGCCTCCAGTCCCCTGATCATCTTTGTTGCTCTTCTCTGTACTCTTTCTAGAGTCTCAGCATCTTTTTTACATCGTGGTGACCAAAACTGGATGCAGTATTCCAAGTGTGGCCTTACCAAGGCCTTGTAAAGTGGCATTAACACTTCACGTGATCTTGATTCTATCCCTCTGTTAATGTAGCCCAGCACTGTTTTATAGTTTTATAATTTTATAGTTTTCCTCACAACCACTTCATCCAACTCATGATAAAAGGGTTGGCTTATGTAGGGCCCAGGACAGAGCCCCTGGACCTCCAATTCATGCTTCCAAGCTGATGTGGAGTGATTTAGGACTGGCTGTCTAGGTGCAGACTAGGTGCCGTCATTCAGCCAATGATAAATCCATCTAGCAGTTAAACCTTCTAGCTGTTAATTTACCATTTTGTTAATGAGGCTGTCTTGTGAGACACTTAGTCAAATGCTCTGCCGATGTCAAGGTACACTGTGTTCATGGCATTCCCCCAATCTATTACGCTAGTAACTCTGTCAAAAAAATGGAGATAGTCAGGCTTGACTAATTGTTATATTCTTCTCTGGTGCTCACAAGCAGTGCTTTTGAATCATCTGTTCAAGGACCTTGCTGTTTATAGACCTCAAGCTGACAAGCCTGTCTTTTTTTGTTTGTTTATGCTTTCCTAATTTAAAGATGGGGATGGAATTGCTCTGATTCTGTAGAGTCTGCTTCCATCGGAGTTGCACTTGGAGCTCTGCTTACTGAAAATGCAAGATAAATGCTTCATTCTCCAGTACAGGAGACGGAGACTCCACCAATGGGTTTCCTTTGTCTGCCTGCTCTTGAGACCAAGTATGCAAAACTTGCCACGCCCCTTCCTGCTGGTAATCCAGTCTTAACTTGGTCTCCGCTCTTGATGACTCGTTTTGGCTTGGCTCTCTGCTAGATCAGGTTAGACAAAAGAACTACCATTGGTGAAGTC